TAAAGAAATGCCATCCCACACCACTACTGACCCACTGCCAAACCGGTCATGCTGGAGGATGTTGCAGGCAGCAGAACGTTCTCCACGGCGTCTCCAGACCCTGTCACATCTGTCACGTGCTCAGTGTGAATCTGCTTTCATCTGTGAAGAGCACAGGGCGCCAGTGGTGAATGTGCCAATCTTGGTGTTCTCTGGCAAATGCCAAATATCATCCATGGTGTTGGGCTGTAAGCACAACCCCACCTGTAGACATTGGGCCCTCATACCACCCTCATGGAGTCTGTTTCTGACCATTTGAGCAGCCACATGCACATTTGTGGTCCGCTGGAGGTCATTTTGCAGGGCTATGGCAGTGCTCCTTCCGTCCCTCCTTGCACAAAGGTGGAGGTAGCGGTCCTGATGCTGGGTTGTTGCCCACCTACGGCCTCCTCCACGTCTCCTGATGTACTGGCCTGTCTCCTGATAGTGCCTCCATGTTCTGCACACTATGCTGACAGACACAGCGAACCTTCTTGCCACAGCTCACATTGATGTGCCATCCTGGATGAGCTGCACTACCTGGGCCACTTGCGTGGGTTGTAGATTCCGTCTCATGCTACCACTAGAGTGAAAGCACCGCCAGCATTCAAAAGTGACCAAACCATCAGCCAGAAAGCATAGGAACTGAGAAGTGGTCTGTGGTTACCACCTGCAGAACCACTCCTTTATTGGGGATGTCTTGCTAACTGCCTCTGCTTTCCACCTGTTGTCTATTCCATTTGCACAACAGCATGTGAAATTGATTGTCAATCAGCGTTGCTACCTAAGTGGACAGTTTGATTTCACAGAAGTGTGATTGACTTGGAGTTACACTGTGTTGTTTAGGTGTTCCCTTTATTTGTTTGAGCAGTGTATATTTTCCCATCCACGTGTGAGAAAAAGGAATAGTTTCTTTCTTTTTTAAATAAGATAGTTCATCATTTATGCCAGGTTGGAGTGGGGCGGCAAGTCTTGTATTTTAAGTCTTATATTTTAGCAGGGTATCTTGCTGGAATTCAGCCTAATCTCCCAAGGAGAATGAAGAACGGTGCTAAACTAAAAGCAACCTGAAGCCTTTCTTGATCAGGGCAAAATCCTGGATTTTTCCCAGTTCTCTACTGTGGGGATGAAGGGATGATTTGTTTTCTCAATGTTGAAGTGATTTGGATCACTTGCTCCTCACGACCTTTTCTGCAGAGTGGTGGCAAGCCTGGGAGATGTTTTTTGTTTCATGACACTCAGGAGAAGATTAAAAGGTTCCCCCCCCACACACACACACACACGAATAAGGGGTTGAGTCCTTTCCAATCCCTCCTGTAGCATCATCAAAGCATTGTACTTTTTCCTTAAGACCAGGTGGAAAATGCCGTTCTCCAGGCCCCGAGGAAGACCTTAGTTTGATGGTGCTGTTCAGGATCTTGGTTGCAGATGTAGTTCAGGAGACTAAAACATACGAACAACGGTTGCAGGAAGTGGACTTGGCTAGTCTAGTGAACAGAAGGACCAAGGAAGACGTGGTAGCAGTGTTCCAATATTTGAGAGGCTGCCACAGAGAGGAAGCGGTCATGCTAATTTCCAAAGCACCCAAAGGCCAGACAAAGAATAGTGAATGGAAACTGAACAAGGAGAGATTCAACCTGGAAATAAGGAGAAATTTTCTGACAGTGAGAGCAATCAACCAATGGAACTTGGTTGGCCTTGTGGGAGCTTCATCGCTGGAGGCTTTCAAGAAGAGACTGGACAGCCATCTTTCAGAAACGGTGCAGGATCTCCTGCTTGGACAGGGTTGGACTAGATGACCTACAGGATCCCTTCCAGCTCCGTTAATCTAATCTAATATGCTAAAGTGTCAGAGTTTTCTGTTTATGTCTGAAAAAGGGTGTTGATGGAAAAAAATATGCTCCTTATCCCAGTCTTCCCGTAAAAAGTGCATCCATAGAAAGTGAGGACATTTTTCCAGGTTAGAAGATTTGAGGTAGATGTAGTTGCCATGCAGGCTCTCCTCCTGACTGTGTCCCAAAATAATAGACAGACATTTTGCTCCAGGAAAGTTGCTGAATTATAGGTGTAACATTTGAAAATTACTCATAAATCTAGGGAACAGAAATAACCAGTCAAACCAACACCCACAACTAGGCCTTAGGTGAGGCTTGTTTATGTGCTGGGGGTATAGCTCAGTGGTAGAGCATTTGACTGCAGATCAAGAGGTCCCTGGTTCAAGTCCGGGTGCCCCCTCCTTTTAATTTTTTTTTGCGGGGGGGGGGGAAACGGGACAATCATCTGTATTATATTCCCAAACTAGATACTTTGTTACAAGTGGAAAATAGATATTCGGCAGATTCCATATCTGAAGCTAAGGTTTTTACCCCATACTCCTCTGTCTTGGGAATAAAAGTTAGTTGCTTGCCAATCAAGAGATAACATTTTCAGCTAGATTTGAGGAAGAAGGAATATCTGTCTTTGGGTCTGAGGGTTGGTAGATGGTGAAATCTGGAAGAACTTCAACAACAGGGAATGGGTTGTAAAAAAACATTTTCCCCATCCATTCAGATGAACAAGAATAGCCTCCTTCATTTTAAAAGACAGCGCTTCATCGGAACTAGGTTGGAGTTGGGTAGGGAGATATATATTAACTGGCCTGGATATCCTACCAGAAAAACCAAATTCACAGGTACAAAATACTTGGTACCTTGCTCAATAGTAGTCACTGAGAGGGATTTTAGAGTCCTAGTGGATAGTCACTTAAATATGAGCCAGCAGTGTGCTGCAGCGGCCAAAAATGCCGACGCAGTTCTAGGCTGCATAAACAGAGGAACAGGATCAAGATCACATGAAGTGTTAATAATACCACTTCATAATGCCTTGCTAAGGCCACACTTGAAATATTGCATCCGGTTTTGGTCGCCACGATGTAAAAAAGATGTTGAGACTCTAGAAAGAGTGCAAAGAAAAGCAACAAAGAGGATTAGGGGATTGGAGGCTAAAATATAAAAAAAAAACACTTGCAGGAACTGGGTGTGTCTAGTCTGATGAAAAAAAGGACTAGAGGAGACATGATAGCAGTCTTCCAGTATCTCAGGGGCTGCCACAAAGAAGAGGGAGTCAAGCTATTCTCCAAAGCTCCTGAGGGCAGGACAAGAAGCAATGGGTGGAAACTAACTAAGGAGAGAAGCAACTTAGAACTAAGAGGGAAAATTTCCTGACAGAACAATTAATCAGTGAAACAACTTGCCTACAGAAATTATGGGTGCTCTAACACTGGAGATTTTTAAAGAAAAGACTGGACAATCGTTTGTCTGAAATGATACAGGGTTTCCTGCCTAAGCAAGGGGTTGGACTAGAAGACCTCCAAGGTCCCTTCCAACTCATAACATAGAATAACATTCTATTCCTGTTCCATTCCAATTCTAATTCTTTCTGACCTCTCCAAGGGAGAAAGATAATTGAGGCTAAATTAAAGGAGGCAGCTTGCAGTCCTTCCTGATCAGAATGAGATTCTGGATTTCTTCCAGTTCTAAACCAAACAGATGAAGGGAGGACTCAGCGTTGAAAAGACTTGGAGATGCTGTTTCTCCAGAGTGACAAGGAAGCCTGGAAAATGTTTTATGCTTCACGGGAGAAGCTGGAAAAAAATTGACAGAAAATTAAAAGGCGCCTCCCTAAACAAGCGGGCAAGGCCCTTCCCAGTCCTCCTTTCTGAGCATTGTCAAAGAGTTATCCCTCTTCTTTTCCATAAAAGGTGTCATGAAATCCTGGATGCCCTATTTGGAAACTGGTAGGTGTCCATTGATTAAATCAGTGTGTTTTTCAAATCTGACAACTTTAGAATGTGCAGACTTCAGACTTGACAACTTTAAGATGGATTGACTTTTAACTCCTGCACATTTTGTTTTTCAAACTTTGTTTTAGTTCTGACTGGGAGTTGAAGTTCACACATCTTAAAAGTTTGGAAAACACTGGTTCAGGGCACCTTTTCAGGCTTGTTGAGGTAATTCCCCGTTAGGAGAATGAGCGCATACAGGGAGACGTATTTGAGAGGAGTGTTTGAATAATACACACACAAAACACAAATACACTGTACTGTAAATGTAGGTTTTTACTTCCAGAAAGGTTTAAGCAAAGTCCAAAATAAGCAATCCAAAATCATTTACAAGTTAAATCAGTCAGTTTTCAATCCAGGGAAAATCCAAATATCAAATTCCAGTGTCAAAAACAGTTCAGTATCAGACTTAAATTAAATCCAGTAATATCAGTCAATTAGAAGAAATGGGGCCACAGCAATACTTTCCAACAGAAGGAAACAGAGATACACTCAGACAGGCACTCTTCTGAGACTAAGACCAAACAACCCAGGTTTCTGGCTCCATCTTATGGCTGTTTGAGAAACCACACCCAATTGCAGTTTTTGCAATCTCTTAAAGACATAGTACTAAAATGTTTATCCTGGTTTATATATTTCTAACCCAAATACCTGTTAGATGACTTATATTCCTAACAAGGCTGATTTCATTATAAGGCTTACTCGAGAGTTGAAGGACAAGCCACCAGTGGCCTGAATGGTTATGCAAATAAAACTTTGGGATGGAGAAGGGGGAGATTACAGGTAACAAGTAACAACTGTAAATTTGTTAAAACCCCTTTGTGTTTGTTCAAACCTTCTGAGATGCCCTGCCTTCTTTTGGAGTTCAGTAACCTCCCACTCAATTGTGCTGCTGAAGTTTCTTGGTTCCAAAATTGTTACCTGAGATGTTTAATGGAAAGTCCTAGGAGTTTAAACCCTGTGTACACATTTGATGAAGTGAACTTCAGTTTGCAAAGATTTATTGCCTTGTAATGAAATTTGCTAGGCTTGAAAATGGCTGTCAGACTCCTTTTAATTTTGGGCTACCAACACACCTTCCTGCCTTGTCATTAATTTATGGGAGGAAAATATGCAGCAAAACTAGTCCAAACCTAGATATTAAAGTAATCATAATTGTACTGGGGAGATCGCTCAGTGGTAGGGCATTTGACTACAGATCAAGAGGTCCCTGGTTCAAGTCTGGGTGTCCCCTGTTTGTTTTGTTTTTTTTCCCAAACAATTTATATTTTGAAATCCCTGAGAACACACAGTGGGTAGCATGTAGGAAGAAATAACTTCTACTAAAAGCTTGAAGGAATAATAGTAATGATTATGAGAATAAGTGTGATACAAACTATTTAACTTACAGGTCATCTTAATTTACGGCTAGAATTGGGACTAGGGTTTCCATTTCAAAGCAAGGCTGTTCTTGAGTGAGTCGCATTTGATTTCATGACCTTATGGCCATGATTGTTCAGCAAATTGCTGCAGTTGTTAAGTGAATCATGTCATTAAGTGAAACCAGCTTCCCCCATTGACTTCACTTGTTGGAAGCTGTCTGGGGAAGGTCCTAAATGGGGATTATAAGATCCTGGGATGCTTGCAACCGTCGTAAATACAGACTGGTTGCCAAGCACCCAAAGTTTGATCGCAGGAGCTTGCAGATGCTGCGAAGATTATATGTGTGAAAACCAGTTTGTCGGTCCCTTTTCACTGTGGTTGTAACTTGGAACATTTGCTAGAGGAATGGTTGTAAGTCAAGGATTACCTGTATTTAAGTTTCCCCATAGCCGGAGTTCCCCGTAGCTGGATAATAGAAGAAGAAGAATAGAATAGAGCTGGAAGGGACCTTGGAGGTCATCTAGTCCAGTGGTCGCCAACCAGTGGGCCAGGGACCACGAGAAAATTTTGGTGGTCCACAGAGAAACGTCACCCCCAAGGCGCCCCCCCCCCAAGCAATTAATCCAGGTTGCACAAGAACACAAGGCTTGCATTGCTTGCATTGCGAACAACACGAGGTAGTGAGGGGATGGGGGAAAGGGTGGAAGGAATGAACTTGCCCCACTGACCCCACGTGCCTGGCCTGGCCACCGGGCTGCTTCTTTCTTCTTCTACTTTTGGCTGCACGCAAGGAAAGCAGCAAAAGTCTTTCTTTCTCTGCCCCAAACTCCCCCAGAAATGAGTCTTTGGGACCCTGCAAGGCCTCCCGCTCCAAGAGGCTGCGCCAGCACGACAATCAGTCTCACAAAGGCTGATTTCTGGCGGAATTTGGGGGAGAGAAAGACTTTTGCTGCTTCTGCTGCTTTCCTTGCATGAAGCCAAAAGTCTCTCCTCCTTTCCCCCCACCCCCCCACCCCCAAGAACAGAGCTGGAGATGGTATCCTGTGATCCCAAATAAAGAATGAAAACGGGGTGGGGAATTTTCCTGCAGACTTTTTTGGCGGGGATTTTCCCAGGATCTCTGCTGCTTTCTGCAGAGACCCTGGGAAAACACCAGCAAGCCACCATCAGTCAAAATTCATATTAGTGGTTCGTGGGATTTAAAATTATGAGTTTGGTGGTCCCGGAGGTCCAGAAGATTTTGGCGACCCCTGATCTAGTCCAACCCCCTTGCTCAAGCAGCAGACCCTCTACCATTTCAGACAAGTGGCTGTCCAGTCTCTTAAAAACCTCTGTGGTCTCTTAAAAACCACAACTTCTGAAGACAAAGCTGTTCCACTGGTTAATTGTCATCCCTGTTAGGAATTCAAGGTTGCTTCTCTCCTTGGTTAGTTTCCATCCATTGTTTCTCGTCCTGCCTCTTTGTGGCAGCCCCTCAAATATTGGAATGTTGCTATCATGTCATCCCTGATTCTTCTTTTCCTCCAGACTGGCCATACCCAATTCCTGCAACCGTGGTTCTTCATATGTTTTAGTCTCCAGGCCTTTGATCATCTTAATTGCTCTTCTCTGAACTTCTTCCAAAGTCTCAACATCTTTTATATATGGTAGAAACATCTGGAAATCTAGAAGAGGGGATGTCCACGGACATTCTCCATTCCCAACGATGCTTTTTTCAAGAGGCAACTACTGGACTTTCTGGTTTTTCTTTGAAAAAATTTCATTTCTCAAGCAAGAAGCTTCTTCAGAAGGGGGGATGTTGGGATAATCCTTTTCAATAAAATTCTTAAGAGGTAGGGTAGTTTGGATTTTAAGTACAGGTAGTCTTTGACTTAACGACCACTATTGGGCCTAAAACTCTTGTTGCTAAGTGAGGCATCTGAGCTTTGCCTTGTTTTACAACTTTTCTTGCCACCGTTGTTAAGTGAATTGCTGCAGTTCATAAGTTGGTAACCTGGTTGTTAAGTGAATCTGGCTTCCCCATAGTTTTTAGCTTGTCAGAAGGTCTCAAAAGAGAATCACATAACCCCAGGACACTGCTGCCGTCATAAGTGTGAAATGACAAATGATTGAATTTTGATCACAAATGTCGTAACTATGAAAAAGCAGTCCTAAACCACATTTTTCAGTGCCGTTGTAACTTTGAACGGCCATTAAACAAACAAGAACTGCCTGTCTTATCTTTGACCCCGGAAGCAAATATACCTTACCTGGTGACATTGTCTGTGAGCACTTGATGGCCTCTTTCCCCTAAAAATCTGCCTGATGCCTTCTTTAAAAAGTCAGCAGCCTTTTTTTCCCCCATGGTCCAAAAACTTTTCAACATGAATGTGTATGCAAAAATTTGTTTCTGGGCTGACATCTGGAAGAATAGAAGTTTACTTTGGGAGGAAGGCTTAAAACTCATTTTGTTTGTGGTAGGTAAATATGTAACCAAACCAGTATACATGAGTAAACTTCTGGGAGCTGTATAGGATGTGCTGGGGGTATAGCTCAGCGGTAGAGCATTTGACTGCAGATCAAGAGGTCCCTGGTTCAAGTCCGGGTGCCCCCTGTTTTTTTTTATTTTTAAAGAAAGGTCTTTAATTAGATTTGTTTCCTTTCTAAAATTGGTTATTCCTGGCAACATAGTAAAATTAGGACAGGAAACTTGTAACCAAAAATGGGACTTTTCCTATCTATTTCATGGGGCAATATCATGGAGTTTAACTATGTAACTATGGAGTAACTATGGATTTTAAACATGACCTTTCTACATATCTTTTCATGACAAGAGGAGTATCAATTCCAGAAGAAATATTAAGTAGCAATCAGAAAAATTCGGATTGTGAGTAGAAAGGACTGAAATACCAACTGACTTTTCTCTCTTATTTTTTTCAATTAAACCAAAAAGAGAACTACATTTTGAAAATCAATTTTACTAAAGCAATATTAAATCTTTCCCCAACCTTTCTGCTGCCTTTGGTAAATGATCAAACATTGTTAATAAAGTACTTTTAATCGAGTTTCCAAATTTTAAAAGAGTTGGCAGCATTGTGTTTTGTTTAGTTGAGCTTGAAACTGCATTGCTAAATCATTTTCTATTGTGAAAGAGTCTGTAGGACAATATGGCAGAAGTGAAATTGCACTGTTGCTGGCTGGGGAATTCTGGGAGTTGAAGTCCTCCAGGCTTAAAGTTGCCAAGGTTGGAGACCCCTAGTTAAGAATAATCTCATCCCTTACAGATATTCTTGCCTTCAATTCCCCTAATTTCTAGACTCATGAGCATCCAGAAGGGGGTTGACTGACTTATAGGTACTCCTCGACTTATGACCACAATGGAGCCCAACATTTCTGTTGCTGAGCTTGTTAAGTGGGTTGTGCCCCATTTTACAACCTTCCTCAACACAGTCGTTAACTGAATCGCTGCAGTTCTTAAGTTAGTCACACGGTGGTTCGGTGAATCAGGCTTCCACATTGACTTGTCAGGAAGTTGCAAAAGGAGATCACATGATCCCGGGACACTGCAATGATGTCATAAGTACAAGCCAGTTGCCAAGCACCTGAAATTTGATCACGCGACCATGGGGCAATGGTTGTAAGTATTGAAAACCAGTCACAAATCAACTTCGAATGGTCACTAAATGAACTGTAGTAAGTTGAGGATTACCTGTACAATGCTGTCTTGAGTTATAGCTTTGTTCTCTGTTGGTGCGATGATGCAGGGTGGGATACAAAACAAACACAGTCACAGAAAACAGGTGGAGCCCCTTTTATTCCTCCACGTTGCTTCCAAGCTCTGGATATCTTTGACGGAAGACAAAAACACTCCCACACAAACAGTTGCAGGAAGAAGGAAAAGGGCAACACAAACCAGGCAAGATAAGGGCTGGAGGATGTCCACAGATAACACACACTGGGAAGGACGCCAAACTCAGTGAGGAACCATAAACGAGATATTTACACGCTTTGTTTCCAGCGTTCGCCCGTACGCAAGTCTGTCGTCTTATTCAGTTTTCACAGCTGCAGCCCATGAAGAGGATCAAGGCCCTCTCCTCCCGACTAGACCAGTCTCTCCCTTATCCTCTCCTCCCTGCGTGCCCTAGGATGGAGAGGAGATGGGCCTGGGTCCTCCTCTGTCTGCCCAGCCGGCCTCTGCCCTTCCCCAGCCTCCTCCACAACCTCCAGAGCCACCCTTCCACTCCGTGTCAGCTGTTCCTCCTCTCCCTCAGAGTCAGTCACCACCAGGTCTTGCATTTCAGTCTGGGTTTTTTTTCAGTCCTTGTTTTCCCATGTATCAGGGAAATAATCAGGTACGGAAGCAATTGGTTCTTTTGGATCCAGAGGCAATAAGCACACCAGTAAATAAAGAGATTTTAAGCTTTATTTAAGCTTAAAAGAAACAGATTGAAAGGCATAATATACAAAGCATACATACCAACCAAAATAATACTCAAATCTCTTGGATAAACTGTTAGATAAATCTGTTGGATAACCATTTGTCTGGAGTGGTGTAGAATTTCCTATTTAAGCAAGTGGTTGGACTAGAAGAGCTCCAAGGTCCCTTCTGACTCTATTATTCTATATCTAAATCTCTCTCACAAACTGCCAGGAACTCCTTAATAAAAACAACGATTTTTTAAAATGGACAGCCAGTTTACATAGTACAGATAAGTCTTCGGCTTCCAACAGTTCATTTAGCGACTGCTCAGTTACAACAGCACTGGAAAAAGTGACTGATGACCTTTTTTTCACACCGCTGCACTGTCCCTGCGATCATGTGATCAAAATTCAGGCGTTTGGCAACCGATTCGTCTTTATGACGGCTGCAGTGTCCCAGGGCCATGGGGGGTCCCTTTTTGCGACCTGACAAGCACAGTCAATAGGGAAGCCAGATTCACTTAACAACCATGTGACTAACTTAACAACTGCAATGATTCACTTAGCAACAGTGGCAAGGAAGGTCATAAAATGGGGCAAAAACTCACTTAACAAATTTTTCACTGTGGAATAGACATTTGGGGCTCGATTGTGGTTGTACATCAAGAACTACCTGTACTCGTATGTCTTAAAAACTACCAGGAGCTCCTTAAGAACAAAAGTTACAGACCCCTCACATCCTGGACATAAAACTGTTTCAACTCCTTCCCTCAAAACGACGCTATAGGCCACCGCACACAAGAACAACTAGACACAAGAACAGTTTTTTTCCCGAAAGCCATCACTCTGCTAAACAAATAATTCCCTCAACCCTGTTCGACTATTTACAAAGTCTGCACTACTATTACTGTTAATCTTCTCATCACTCCTTATCACCCATCCCCTCCCATTTGTGACTGTATGACTGTTACTTTGTCACTTGTGTCCTAATGATTTATATTGACTGTCTCCTAGTATGATTTGATTGTTGATTGTACCCTATGGCTATCATTAAGTGTTATACCTTATGATTCTTGATTCTTAACAAATGTATCTTTTCTTTATGTATACTGAGAGTATTTACACCAAGACAAATTTCTTGTGTGTCCAGTCACACTTGGCCAATAAAGAATTCTCTTCTCTTCTCTTTTCTTCTCTTCTCTTCTCTTAACCTAAATTGGATAAAAGTGACTTTTCTTTGGATACCACCACGTAAATCTTACTGGCCAATCGCAACAGGGACATTTAAATTGACTTAAAGATTGCCACATGTACCTTCGTATATTTTGTATATATCTACATGTGTATATTTGAAAATGCTGAACTTGAGTTTGACACTCCTGCATTACAGGCCATCCTCAACTTATAACGATGCGTTTACTGACCGTTTGAAGTTTCACCAAAACTGAAAAAAGTGACTCGTGACCAGTTTTCACAGTTATGACCATTGCAGTGTCTCTGTAGTCACATGATCAGCATTTGGGCACTTGGTAATTCTATGCATTAATAACCGTTGCGCTGTACTGAGGTGGTGGGATCCCCAGTTAACCTTCCAATCCAGCTTCCGACAACGGGAGATGCCATTTGATGAAGGATGACATGATTCACTTAACAGTTGCAGTGATTTCCTTAACAATTGCCCTGTTTAGCAACATGAGCTTTGGGGTCAGTTATGGTTGTACGTTGAGTTCTAGCTGTAGTGGTTCATACACCATGATAAGCTGCACATCATGTCTGCTAACTACAATGCCTGTTTGGCCAACAGAGAGCAAACAAGTGGTTATTCTTGCTTACTATGAAAACTCAGCCAGCAATGCCTTTGTCTTTAATACAATTCATAGATACCATGTCTTTGTGTATGTGCAGAGCTTTGGGATACAATTACTAGGGGATTAGTTGCAGATTAGTGGGAGGAAAAAAGTGCTCGCTACTGCACAGAATAGATTATAACAGGTGGAAGGGAGGTGGACTTGTCTCTCTGCAGCCGGAAGGGTTGGAAGGAGATTCAGAAGAGGCCAAAGGAAGCAGGACATCTTCACACAGAACATAATTCACCTAGTGGAAACCATTACAAGACTTGATGGTGGCCATTGAAAAAGACCCTGGATAAATTCATGAACAGTGAGGCTATCAAGGGCCTACACAGCAATATTACTCAACCTTGGCAATTTTAAGACATAGGGGATTTCAACTCCCAGAATTCCATAGCTGGTTGGGGAATTAACAGAATAACCGAGTTGGAAGGGACCTTGGATGTCTTCTAGTCCACCCCCTCTCAAGATGGAGACTCTATATCTGTGATGGTGAACCTGTGGCATGTGTGCCACAGGTGGCAACGCAGAGCCATTTGTGCTAGCACTTGAGCCGCAGGCAAACTTACCTCACTGCGCATGCGCGCAGCTCAAAGCTGATTTTGAGGCTGCTTTTTCGGCCTCCCAGAGGCTTGAAAAAAAGCCTCTGCAGGCTTTGCAGGTCAAATAGGCCCGTTTTGTCACTTCCTATAATACCAGAAGTGACGAAATGGACCTATTATCCGGACTGCAAAGCCCGCAGAGGCTTTTTTCCAAGCCTCTTGAGAGGCCGAAAAAGCAGCCCCAAACCAGTTGAAAATCAGCTGTGAGGCACAGTGCAGGTAAGGAGGCGCCGTGGGGGGATTGCACGCGCGTGTGCAGGGAGTGTAGGGGAGCACACATTTCAGACAAGTGACGGTCCAGTCTCTTTTTGAAAGCCTCCAGTGATGGAGCACCTACAACTTCTGAAGGCAAGCTGCTCCACTGGTTAATTGTCTTCACGGTGAGGAAGTTTCTCCTTAGTTCTAGGTTGCTCTTCTCGTTAGTTTCCCTTCATTGCTTCTTGTCTTGTCTTCAGTTGCTTTGGAGAATAGATTGCCCCCTCTTCTTTGTGGCAGTCCTTCAAATATTGGAACGCTGCTATCATGTTCCCCCCCCCCCAATTCTTCTTTTATCTAGACTACACATACCTCAGTTCCTGCAACCGTGCTTCGTATGTTTTAGCCTCCAGATCCCTAATCCTCTTTGTTGCTCTTCTCCGCTCATTTTCCCCCCCAGAGTCTCAACATCTTTTTTATATGGTGGTGATCAAAACTGGATGCAATATTCCAAGTGGGGTCTTACCAAGGTATAAAGTGGCACTAACTTGTTTTTCGTTTCTCCTGTCTTCTCACCCTCTCACAGATTCGCAGCTAAGCTCATTGCGGGCGTGCTGGATTTCAAGGCAAAGATTGACCGGTGAGTAGGTTCCTTTGGATCTACTGGTCCAGTAGAGGAGCTATCCATGCAGATTGAAACCCACTGGACCCACTGATGGGATTCAAATTTTTTTTACTACCGGTTCTGTGCGGGTGGCTTGGTGGGCATAGCCAGGGAAGGCTACTGTAAAATCTCCAGTCAGAGATGGTATTTGCCGGTTCTCCGAACTGCTTTCAGAATTTCCACTACCAGTTCTCCAGAACTGATCAGAACCTGCTGAATATACCACCTCTGCACTGGGCCAATATGCAGGATAAATACTATCTCCAATGGAAGTTGGAAGAAATGGGTTGTGATGACGCCATGGTGGTGCAGTGGTTAGAAGGCAGCACTGCAAGCTAATTCTGCTGATTGCCAGGAGTTCAATCCTGACCGGCTCAAGGTTTACTCAGCCTTACATCCTTCTGAGGTTGGTAAAATGAGGAGCCAGATCATTGGGGGCAATAGGCTGACTCTGTAAACCACTTAGATAGGGCTGTAAAGCACTGTGAAGCAGTGTATAGCGGTATGTAAATCTATGTGCTATTGCTGGTGCCATTTTGCCTGGGAAGAACATGGGGCCTTCCTTGGGTCAAAAGTGGCAAATGGCTACAGGTGTGCGTGTTAGGGATACACCCTAGCAGAATCTGCACGGCAGTCAGGCAGGCAGGCAAAATATGTGAGATAAACGTTTTTGTAGCTTACACTCAGTAAAACAGATACACCGTGCTAGTTAAATAGTTTATTCCAGTAAGAGTTATAGCATAGTCAAACAGTCCATGTATCATTAACTAGTTCAGTCCGTCCGGGGATTATTCAGTTGCAAATTCCAGTGTCGAAAAAGAGAGGTCAGTAAACTTACAAATATCAGTCCAGTAATATATCTCCTCGCAGTAGAGATATGAAGAAGTCACACCTCCTTTCTTCCTCCTGCAACTCAGCAGTAGGGAAACACACAGTTAACAAACCATCAATCCATCAAACCAGTCAATCGTCAGGAATCGTCAGCAAATGAGCAGGTTCTCTTGCTCCCTCTTATAGCGGTTCACAACCGCACTCAAAATTACATGCTTTGCAGTTTAAAGTGACACACACTTAAACTTACAATCATAGTTTATATATATATTATTTTACCCAAACTACGTTAGGTAACCTATGTTATTCCTAACAGTGCGTGTGGTTCCCAGGGACAAGGAGACTTTGGGTGTTTCTGTGTGAAAACAGGACAGACTGGGAAGAGGGTGGCAGCTGGCCAAGTCAGAAAGTTATAGTTCCCTTTTTCCCCCATACTCCCAAATGGGAGGTTGGGAGGTTCTTGTCTTCCCCAAACTCTTACCTTTCGGCTTACCTGCGCAAGTGGAGAATCAGTCAAAGGCTTCCAGACTGGATCTGTTTCTCCTTCTCCTATGACTTCACAGAGGGCCAGAGTTTGCAACAATGAAGTTCGACCCCAGGGTAACCACCAAGCAAAATAAACCTTGTGCTTTGGGTCCCAAGGACAAGAAGGGTGCCATAGAATTATCCCCTTTACCCAGCTATCACACACTTAATTTCTTTCCTGGCCACACTGCCATTGGAGGCACTTGTTTTGGAAGCGGCCTTCAAAAAAGGTCTTCTTTGGCACCGTAAAAGTTTGGTTCGGTTGGTTTTGGCAATGTCACTTCGGTTTTTGTCTGGTGGCATCCCAGGTTTTGCTTCTGTTGAGGGGAAACATTTTTGGGCTTTGCTTGGAGGCATCAGTTAGTGAAGGTTCTAGACTAGAAGTGGGGAGAACCCGGTTCTAGTTCTCCTCTGAGCCACAGAAGCTCTCTGGGAGAACTCATTCATTCATTTTATTTGAACCAGAATAACAGAATTGGAAAGGATCTCGTAGGTCTTCCAGTCCAACCCCTGGACTGGAAAAGCTAGTTGAGGAACTCTGGGAGTTGAAGTCCACAAGTCTTAAAGTTACCAAGGTTGGAGACCCCTGTTCTGGTCCAAGTCCCGGCTGAAGCAGGAGACACTAGGCCAGGCCTATCAAACTGGCAGCCCATGGGCCAGATATAAACCCACGTAGACCATGCCCATCCTGGCTCTGCTAAGGCAAAAAAAATCCCGATACGACCCGCGATGCCATCGGGTTTGACACACTTGCTCTATACCATTTCAGACAAGTGGTTGTCCAGTCTCTTCTTAAAAACCTCCAGTGTTGGATCACCCGCAACTTCCCGAGGCAAGTTGTTCCACTGATTAATTGCTCTCCCCGTTAGGACATTTCTTCTTAGTTCTAGATTGCTTCTCTCCTCCATTAGTTTCCATCTGTGGCTTCTTGCCCTGCCCTCAGGTGCTTTGGAGAATAGCTTGACCCCCCCTCTTCTTTCTGGTAACCCCTTAGATATTGGAACCCTACTATCGTGTTATCCCGAGTCCTTCTTTTTCAATAAACTACTAGACCCGTGATGGCGAACCTATGGCACGCGTGCCACAGATGGCACACAGAGCCATTTGTGCCGGCACATGAGCTGCGAGCAGAGTTACCTCACTGCGCATGCGCGTGCCTCACAGCTGATTTTCAGCTGATTTGAAGCCTTTTTCGGCCTCCTAGAGGCTTGAGGGAAGGCTTCTGCAGGCTTTGCAGGCCAAAAACTAGCCCCGTTTTGTCACTTCCTGTTTTTCTGACAATACTGGAAGTGACAAAACGGGGCTAGTTTTCGGCCCGCAAAGCCTGCAGAAGCCTTCCTCAAGCCTCTGGGAGGCCGAAAAAGGCCTCAAACCCACCAAAAATCAGCTGTGAGGCGTAGTGCAGGTAAGGGGGCGGGGGGGGTTATTTGGGTGGGTGGGGATTACACGCGCATGCGTAGGGGGCAGGGGGGCATGCATTGGTTTGAGTGCTGGCACGCGAGCGTGCAAGCATGTGCACAATTTTTGGCACAGGAGCCCAAAAAGGTTTGCCACCGCTGTACTAGACAGACCCAATTCCTGCAACCGTTCTTCATATGTTTTAACCTCCAGTCCCCTAATCCTCTCCATTGCTCTTCTCTGCAACTCTTTGCAGCCTTTAGGGGGTGGGGGAGAATTGAATTCTGAGGCCGACCTTCAGATCCTGGATGAAAAGTGGGACAAAGGACTATCAGAAATTCATACGCAAGGATGCCCGCGGCTTTCTTGTGGACCGACATTGAAAGAATGCTGATTTGGTTCCTTTTTCTTTCCATCTCCACGGCAGCCAGACCCTGCTAGTTGAGTATTCCCACGGTCACCCACTCAGCATGGACTGCTATTCTCGCCTGTTTGCCTCTTGCCGACTCCCTGGACGAAAACATGACTCTATTTTGCTGCCTCCACCTGGACGGAAGCCCCCAAATTATATTACTGTTGTTCGCAACTTCCAGGTAAAATGCCTTCATGTTGGCCCAACCATTGTTCCCTGGATCTGTTGGGATCAGTTCTTTGGGCCTCAGTATAAGAACCTACACTCATTTGCTGCTGTATAACAAAAGAGAAAAAAATACTATTTTAATATCTTAAAAGTGTAACGTTCTAGTTTAGTGTTGACACGTAATTGGAGACATCCAGATTCTAGTCTCCCTTCAATCACGGAAATCTCCTGGATTACTTTAGATCAGTCATGTGGCAGCTTAATCCTCTTCATCCACTGTACCCCATAGAATTGTTTTTGGATAATATGGAGAGCAGTTTGGATGCCCCCTTAAGTTCCCAAACGAAGAGTGGTATATAAATCTAATGCGTCAGTAAGGTACATCGTAGTTATAGGATTGGTCCAGGATTGTGAAGCTCCTGTGAGTCCCTCCTCTCCTTTCAGAAATCATTATGGTAGGTGATCTCCAAACTTGGTAACTAATACCTGTGGACTTCAATTCCCAGAATTCAGACTTGAGAATTCTGGGAGTTGAAGTCCACAAGTCTTAAAGTGTGGACTTCTCACTTAAAGATGTGTGGACGTCCATTCCCAGAATTCCCATGCTGGCTGGGGAATTCTGGGAGTCCACAAGTCTTGCCTCCAAAAGTTGCCAAGTTTGGAGGTCACTGCCTTGGAGGAAGGCTACAGTTAGTCCTCGGGTTAAAACTGAAATAGAGACTGGAAAATTCATTAAGTGATGAAGTCGTTAAGTGAGGCATCACATGGCAGCACCCAACTTTATGACCTGTTTGCCATGGTAGTTAACTGATATACCATGTGACCATGACTTAATGATCTTCCCTGCCTGCTTTCCCGTTGACTTTAGTTGTCGGAAGCCAGCTGGGAAAATTGCAAATAGCGATCACATAGGACATTGTGACTTCTATAAATGTACAACAGTTGCCAAGCAACCAAATCATAATTATATGACTGTGGAGATGACGTGACAGTTATAAACATAACGACTGGTCATAAGTTGGTTTTCTTCAGTTGCTAAATGAATGGTCATCACTTGAAGACTACCTACAGCAGCACTCAGGGCCTTTGGACGATAGAGGATCATTCTAGGTTCTTAGAGTTCCTGGAAGGGTGTGAGCCCCAAAATATTTGGGGACTTGATCAATGAAACCAGAAGTAAACAGCTCCTTGGTGTGATGGGGTAACCCCCGTTTCTCTGTCTCTTCTGTTCTCTGTCTCTTTCTCAGTTCTTCCGGCTTGAAGTATACAACAGTGATGGGACACCCCTGACCATTGACCAGCTTTACCTGCAGCTCCTAAAAATCCGCTCTTTTTCTTGGAAGTTGAATAAAGAGCCCTTGGGAATCCTCACCAGTGACCACCGACATACCTGGGGAGAGGCCTTCACTAGTCTCATGAAAGGTGGGCAAGCCAGGTTTTGGGAGGTAGAAAGTATGGGCCTTCGATCATGAATCCTCTGTTCCATGCAGAAATCCAGATTAAAGGATCCATGTTAGAGGGCTCTTCGTTCTCCATTTTGAGTGAAGGGAGTGCCTTGAGTGCCTCTCAAGGTCAGCTGTCAATCTGCTCCTAATTTTATTTTCTTGCCATTCCCCAGTGACTGGATCCAGATGTAAACAAATGGCTTCTTTTAAACACAGATAACAGATAATCAGAGTTGGAAGGGACTTTATAGGTCATCTAGTCCAACCCCCTGCCCAAACGGGAGACCCTATGCCATTTCTGACAAATGGCAGTCCAATATCTTCTTGAAAGTCTCAAGTGATGGTGCTTCCACAACTTCCGAGGGCAAAGCTGTTCCATTGGTTGATTGTTCTCACTGTCAGAAAGTTTCTCCTTATTTCCAGGTTAAATCTCTTCTTGTTCAGTTTCCATCCATTATTCCTTCTCTGGCCTTCGGGTGCTTTAGAAAATAACTTGACCCCTTCCTCTCTGTGGCAGCCCCTCAAATATTGGAAGACTGCTATCATGTTACCCCTGGTCCTTCTCTTCACTAGACTAGCCAGGCCCAGTTCCTGTAAGTTTTAGTCTCCAGTCCCCTAATCATCTTGGTTGCTCTACTTTGTACTTTTTCTAGAGTCTCAATATCTTTTTTATAGTGTGGTGACCAAAACTGGATGCAGTACTCTAGGTGTGATCTTACTAAGGCTTTATAGAGTGGTATTAGTACCTCACTTGATCTTGATTGTATCCCTCTGTTAATGCAATGTAGGATTGCACACTGCTGCCTCCTATTTAGCTGGTTGTCCACTAAGACTCCAAGATCCCTCTCACAGTTACTGCTGTTGAGCCTGGTTTCACCCAGTCTATACTGTGTATTTTTGGTTTTTCTTGCCTAAGTGTAGGACTTTACTTTTCTCTACATTGAATTTCGTTTTGTTGGATACGGCCCAGTGTTCTATTCTGTCAAGATCCATCTGGATCTTGAGCCTATTTTCTTGGGTGTTACACATCAGATAAGTTTTAGTCTCCAGTCCCCTAATCATCTTGGTTGCTCTTCTTTATACTTTTTCTAGGGCCTCAAGGGTTGCATTTAAGCACCTACTGTACAACCTTCTCTAACCTGGTACTCTCAAAATCATTTTTTCTCAATCTTGGCAACTTTAGGATACATTAGACATCAGCTCCCAGAATACCCCAGTTCCCCATTGGAATTTTTTGCATTTTTTTTTCAGTGAGCGGTTTTTTCTAAAGATATGTATTTTTATACCAAGAATTCAAACTTGCTATTCTTTTTGCAATTGTACAACTTTTAGCTTGATATATCCACATTTGATCATACACCCCACCGAAGTTTCTTGTAACTCAAATGCTGTTAACTTTATCTTTTCAAAATTACACCTTGTGCCAAAATTAAAGTTTTTTTCTGCATGAATATTATCTAGCTAAGCAAATAATAATAATCTGTGCAATCCATAAACTAACATCAGAAAGCAGTCATCTTGAGTTACAAAAATGTTTAAGCGAGTTTCGTCAAGCCTTGATTTGATTTGACATCAGCCACCAACTTGCTTCTTGGTCTCTGATATGACCCTCTGTTTCTCATGTGAATGAACTCTGCTTGCTGCTCTGTGACCTGTTTCACACATCTCTTGATTGGGCATGACAGGGCCACTGTGGTATTTGCATTGTTTCCTCAATGAACTTCTTTATTTCCACTGTAGTCAGTTTGCACGTCAAACGTGGCTCATATGCATCTTCAGACCAGTCAATCAGGATTAAACATTTGATGGGAGGGTACAATGTAGTCATATTTATCGATATCTTCTATCTATATCTACATATAAAAGCGAAACACCACTCACGCATCATCACAAAATCTCCAGAACCGTAACACCTACAAACTTGAAATTTAGCACATATGTTCCTCTTGCCTTCTAGGTGCTCACTAAGAAAGGATTTTTTGAAATGACTATTAGAGCATTAGTATTTCATATATTATTATTAATATGCTCTGTTGCTAAGGAGTTCTACTCCCCCTCCCCATCTGAAAAGAAATCTGTACCAAATGCAAAACACAAGCATAGGAGAGGATTTTCAGTTCTAGTTTCACAGCACCAAGCAGCTTTATTACAGAACAGTTGAGCTAAGCCACACCCAGGCTCCTTGCTGTCTCCTTCTTGCTCACACAGCAGATACTGTTTCACTTTCCAAACAGCCCTGAACTCTCACTAACGGAACACTAGCCAGATGAATACTGATGGACGCTAGTAGGCAGAGGCACAATTTTTCCCTCCTTATTTTCCTCCCCAAAAACTAAGCCCAACCACATAGTTTTGTAGTGAAGCATGGGTATCGAGCTTGTTAAATATATGTTCAGTTTACTTTAATTTTAACTATATGAAAATGAAAAAAGGAAAGAAGTCAGATTTAAAAAATTTGTAAGGTTGCACCCCCTTTTCTGACTGCTTTTCTCCCTCCAGAGAATTAATTTGATTTTGTCCTGTGCTACCATATTGGGAATTTTGATTTTTTTTTTTTCCTGTACAACCACACCGGGAACTAAATCTGGCATTTCTTGTTCCAGACAAACTGAACCAGGAATCAGCTCTGACGATCCAACGTAGCCTCTTCACCGTCTGTCTGGATGCTCCTACCCTGAAGGTATCGGATGCTCACGCCCAAAGCCGTTTGGCAGCTCAGATGCTGCACGGTGGAGGGAGCTACTCCAACAGTGGCAATCGGTGGTTTGACAAGACTCTGCAGGTGAGCATCAAAGCAGGATGTAAGTTAGGCTTCAGTATGGAAGCGTATGGGATCCTCAGATGGGATCCTCAGTTGCACGATAATAAATAAAAGTAAGTGTCGGATGGCACTCCATTCAAAATCCAAGAAAGGCACTGTTAGACTCCATTGTTACAGAGAAAAGAAACCTTTGCTGGAAATCAAGTGGTTAGCATCAAAAGAATTTTAGATCTGAGGATTTACGCGCGAAAAACACATATACAAAGTGATGACAGTATTCCCACTCACAATAGTTCAAAACGGTCCATCCAATCATATGTACCGTGTTTCTCATATAATAAGGCTCGGTCTTTTTTTTTTTTTTTTTTCCAGCCCCGAAAATAGGGCTAGGCCATCTTTTCAGGGGTGACTTAACTCCCCCCCCCTTGCATCTTCGGGCAGGCGGGCGGCGACGGCTTGGATGTTGACCTCGGTGTTGGTGGGGCACTTTTTATCAGGGTCAACGCAGGCAGCACCATATCCGGTTGTGCAACAAAAGTACTTCCTAACGGCAAGCCCCCCCCGCCATTTCCCCCCCCCCATTTCGCATGTTTTAATATAGGCCTTAATTTGGGGGGAGGGGCTTCATTTCATTTCATGCCTATAAAACATGCTGGAACTTCCTATTGGGGGAGGCCATATTGTTGGAGAAACAGGGTATAATGTCATGTGGGGCATCTTCAGGTGGTTATGCAGACATCTGGCCATTGACCTTGGCCTGGTTTGATAAAGAGCTGCAGTTGCGCAGTCAGCAAGCAAGTAAGCACAAACAATAAAGTTTCCCCCCCAAATTATACAGTTCATTCTCTGAAACCTCCAGCACGTTTCTCACCCAAAAATTTCACCCTCCCCCAGTGGTGGGATTCAAACAATTTAACAACCACTCTGCCCTCATGATTTCTTCCAACAAACCAGTTCACCAAACTGCTCAGAAAGTTACCAACTGGTGCGAACTGGCTGAATCCGCACCCCTGCCCTCCCCCCGTTACTATGGCAACCGAAAAGATGTGAGGGAAAGAAAGGAGTTGTGAAGGCTGTGACAGTAAGATTAAAAAGATAAAGATATAGATAAAAGTAAGGTTGTACACTTAGGTAAGACAAACCAACTATACATCTATAGGTGAAACTGGACTCGGTGCCAGTAACTCTGAAAAGGATCTTGGAGTCTTAGTGGACAACCACTTAAATAGGAGCCAGCAGTGTGCGGCAGCAGCCAAAAAAGCCAATGCAATCCTAGGCTGCATCAATAGTGGGATACGATCAAGATCTCGTGAAGTTGTAGCAGTTCTACAAAGCCTTAGTAAGACCACACTCTGGTTACTGCAATACAAAAAAAGATGTTGAGACTCTGGAAAGCGTGCAGAGAAAACTGATTAAGGGCCTGGAGGCTAAAATGTACCAAAAACAGAGGAATTGGGTATGTCTAGTCTAATGGAAAGAAGCATTGTGGGGACATGGTAGCGCTGTTCTAATATTTGAGGGGCTCCTAACAAAGATGATGGGGTCAAACTATTTTCCAAAGCCCCAGAAGGCAAAACAAGAAACAAGGATTGGAAACTAACCCAGGAGAGAAGCAACCTAGAACTCAGGAGAAATTTCCTATTGGAGAGAGCAATTAACCAATGGAAGAATTTGCCTTCAGAAGTTGTGGGTGCCCCATCACTGAAGGCTTTCATTTGTCTGAAATAATATAGTTCTGCTTGAGCAGAGGGTTGGACTAGAAGACCTCCAAGGTCCCTTCCAACTCTTATGTTTTATGTAATTAAGTCAGGGTAATCAATATTGTCTCATTTCACATGAGATTTAAGAAGGAAGATTTCTAAAAGCTTCTAAATTTCGGTTACATCATAAGCATTTTGAACATTTTTAGAATTTTTTTTTTTTTTAAAAAAGATGGGATGGCTTCCGTTGGCCAAATACTAGATTAAAATTTAAGCATTTAAGAGTATTGTCCCTTTCTCTTGATACGAACAGAATGAGATTTGGCCTGTGTGCCGATCTCTATTAAAAAAAACAACCCAATGATTTAAGAAACCTATATGGCTACCTAACAAAATAATAACTTGGGCTGATAAGCAGTCAGCCACTAACATATAAGGAAAAATTTAAAAAAATTTTTTTTAAAAAATTATCTTTATTACACATTTTTCAAACATTTACACCAAATTTCTGTTTGTGACAGTGCTTAATAGTCAGCTTTTTTCCTATTTACATAGTAATACTTTCATTTTCAATTCCAGGTATATTTCTCTAATATTTTTACATTTATATTTACCTTTTTATAATTCCTCATATATACATTTCCTGCAACTCTCAAGTAATTTTTATACATATTCTTTACTTTTCTCCTCTAGCCACTCATACCATATGTCCCAAATCTTATAATATTCTGTTTCCTCCTCGTCTTTTAACTCCATCGTTAATTTATCCATCTCTGCACATTCAAGCACTTTTTTTTAATCACCATCTCTTCTGTTAGGGATATTGGTTTCTTTCTACTGTTGTTCAAAAACAATTCTGGCCACTGTCAGTATATGGAGTATGATATATTGATTTTTAAAAAAAAATATATTTGGGAATACATGTTATTTTATTCTGCTTTTTCATCATCCAAAATAAAAAAAAGATGAGAGAATCCTCTACTTCAGGGGCTCCCCAGCCTTTATGGCGTGGCGGCCTGGCTGGGGAGGGGGGTGGAATTGGCCCTTGTAAGCAGTGGTCTGGTGTGTGCAAGTGCCATTCCGCCATTCATGTAAGTAGAGCTGCGTGCATGTGCACCGGACCGCCACTTGTGCAAGTTAGAGCTGTGCGTGCGCCAACCCTTCATTGTGCAATCCACTTTCAAACCAGCCATGGCCTGGTAGTAGGCCTCGGCCTGTGGTTTGGGGACCCTGCTGTAGCTGAAACCAGCTTTTTAATTTTATCTTTTTCCGTGCCTAACAAACCGTTTTCCTTCCTTCTTCCCATTCGTTCTTTTTCCCTGGCCTTCAGTTCATTATCGGAGAAGATGGCACCTGTGGGGTCCTTTACGAACAAGCCATCGCTGAGGGGCCACTGATTGCCACGGTCATCGACTACGTCCTTGATTATTGGTAATGTTCCCTATTGGGGGGAGTTGTGATGAAGCTGTGGGGATAGATAGCCTGACTTGACTCCCGTGGGCGGATTTTGAATCTGTGTTGCAAAAAGTGTTCAAGAAACCATCGTCCTTGAGATGCAGCTCTGAACTAAATAGCCAGTGACAAGATGCTAAGCTCCCCTCATAATTAATTACAGAGGAATTATTGAATGTGTCATCTGCACCTCTGTAACTGTCTGGTTTAGTTCTGCAACCCAACAAGACAGAGACTTCAGAGGATAATTAGGACTGCAGAAAAAACAATTACTACCAACCTGCCTTCCATTGAGGACCTGTATATACAGCACGAGTCAAAAAGGGCTGTGAAAATAGTTACAGACCCCTCACATCCCAGACATAGACTGTTTCAACTCCTTCCCTCAAAATGACACTAATAGATAATCAGATAATCAGAGTTGGAATGGACCTTGTAGGTCATCTAGTCCAACCCTCCGCCCAAGTGGGAGACCCTACACCATTTCTGACAAATGACAGTCCAATCTCTTCTTGAAAGTCTCAACTGATGGCGCTTCTCACAACTTCCGAGGGCAAGCTGTTCCATTGGTTGATTATTCTCACTGTCAAAAAGTTTCACCAGAACAACTAGACACAAGAACAGTTTTTTTCCCAAACGCCATCGCTCTGCTAAACAAATAATTCCCTCAACACTGTCCAACTATTTACAAAGCAGTACTATTACTGTTCATCTTCTCATCACTCCTTATCACCCATCCCCTCCCACTTGTGATTGTAGGACTGTAATTTTGTCGCTTTATGATTTATATTGACTCCTAATATGATTTGATTGCTTAATGTACCTTGTGACTATTATTACGTGTTGTACCTCACGATTCTTGACTCTTGACGAATGTATCTTTCTTTTATGTACTCTGAGAGCATATGCACCGAAGACAAATTCCTTGTGTGTCCAGTCACACTTGGCCAATAAAGAATTCTATTCCTATTCCTGTTCTGTTCTGTTCTGTTCTTTTCTACTATTCTATTCTATTCTGTTCTGTTCTGTTCTATTCTATTCTATTATTGCATGGAAGAATGAAATGAATCACTTTAGGGCTTAGTTCAAGGATATGAACCTGGCTAGAGGGATGGTTGTTTTGATATAACACAAGAGTAGTCCCAAAGAACCTTCTAGGATGAGAAGCAAAAAATATTCAAAAGAAAAACAAACAAACCAGAAAGTCCAGTTGCCTCCTGAAAAAGCACTTTGCGACAACCATGACCTGAATGACGGAGAATCTCCACAGAGTTAAAACACCAGAGTATATTTTAATTAAGATAAATGTCTGTGGAGATTCTCCGTCATTCAGGTCATGGTTGTCCCAAAGGTGCTTTTTCGGGAGGCAACTGGACTTTCTTGCTTGTTTGTTTTTTCTTTTGAAGACGTTTTGCTTCTTCATCCAAAAAGCTTCTTTGGTTTCAGAAGAAGCGAAACATCTTGAAAGAAAAATCAGAAAGGCTTCTTGAAAAAAACACCTTTTGGGGGAGAATTTTAATTAGGTGCCTGTTTGTTTTAGTTTTGTTAATCACATTTATATGGCCGCCTAACGTGAGAAGCGACTCTGGGTGTTGTGCAACAATCAGCGAAAGCAGCCGATGTATAAAAACGTAGAAAAATGGAAAAAAAAGTCATGACTAAAAATAAAAACATTGAAACATGTAAATGTAGTGCATCTTTCCTCCCTTTCTTTTCCCTCAGCAAAGATCCAGCCATGACCCGCAGCCCGATGATTCCTCTACAATTGCCCCAGAAACTTTATTTTTCCATCACTCCAGAAGTCAAGCGTGACCTTGAGCGTGCAAAGCAGAATTTGGATGTGTGAGTAAGCAGGGCGTGGGCTCCGGGATGGCCTGTTTTGGTAACACGCCTTGTCAGCCCCACTGAAGGGGTGAAAAACTCAATTTAACAACAGTTCACTTAGTGCCATTGAAGGTTACAACGCTACTGAAAAAAGTTATTCTTTTTGTTCTGATCCAAACCCTTTTCCAATAAAACAAACACGAACCAAAGGGAACAGAAACCTTTTAATGATTCTTACGAATCCCCGGTTAAAAGGCTGTTGCAAACTAATTAACTTTGATAAGCACAAGCCTCGCCAAAACTCTGGGAGGCTGCCAAGAATAACAGATAAGGAATATTTTACAACACAAGAGTCTTCAAATACCAACTTAAGATACTGTAATGTCCATGAGGCTGAGTTTCAAAACGTCTTTGCTTCCTACAAAGAACGTTTGCTTCACAGCTGGCTTTTATCTTTTTGAAGCAGGGGCCATTACCTTGCAGCCTTACTGCTGAGTCTCCTGTGCTGCTGCAACTGCTCTTTCCTGCGAGCAGCCCTGCGCGCACGCGCACTTGGCACAGGCTCCTCGGGAACCTCCTCATCACTGCTGCCATCCCCCACAATCTCTGAAGGCAGCAGTCCTCTCCCTAATGATCCTGGCCTCTCATCTGAGTCCTCACTCTCCTCAGCCGTCCGCACCTGCAGCCGGCTAACCACAACACTTTTTTACACTCAATGACCGTTGCAGCATTCCCATGGTCACGTGATCAAAATTCAGGTGCTTGGCAGCTGACTCATATTTATGACCTTTGCAGTGTCCCGGGGTGACATGATTCCCTTTTACGACCTTCTGACAAGCAAAGCCAATGGGGAAGCCAGATTCACTTGAACAACTACAGTGGCTAACAATTGTGGCAATCAAAGGTCAAGCAAAATTCACTTAATAAATGTTTCACTCAGCAACGGAAAATTTAGGCTCAATTGTGGTCGAGGACTACCTGGTTCTTTTGTTTCTTGCTCTGCTCTGGAACTTTTATTTTTATTTTTTTTTGTCTTGATTGATTATGCGCCGTTAAGTCACCTTATCAATCATATAGATAGGGATTTTTTTTTTTCATAATGAACTGCTCACAGTCAGGTCTTTCAGCTCTTCCGCTAGTACCTCTATTGCAGGGGTATCAAACTCAATGTCATTGAGGGCCGCAGCAGGGCTGTGGTCGATCCGGGGGAGGGGGAGATGGACCCTGGCCAACTGGGTGGGTGTGGCTGACTGGGTGGGCGTGGCCAGCTTTATGCCACTCCCCAAACTGCTGCCATGTTTCCTCTTCACATTGGGTAGACTTGGCCGAAGCAGGCTGGCCCCTTGCATTTTCCAGGACAGTCCTGCGGGCAATATCCAACTACTTTGTGGGCTAAATCCGGCTCACGGGCCTTGTATTTGACATCCCTGCTCTATTGCCACTTTTAACAACAGAGTCCATCCATCTTGCTGGTCATTTTCTTCTCTTTTCTTCTGCCTTTCCCAACATAATCTTTGGATCTTTTCCTTTGGATCCTATCTCCCCGAAGTGTTACTTTTAGTTTTCCTTGTTTGATGGTGGTTTATTTTGTGGCTGCGTACTTCTCTCTTCAGTCACTTTTAATCAAAATACTGCAATGTCAAGCAAATGTAAGAAGTCTATGAGTCAGGGAGCAGGGTTGGCCTTAGGAGACGCCACCCCAGGTATCCCATCAAGGACCTTCAAATAAAATGAGATATATTAAGAAGTTATTTTAGTGATTTACTGGGAGGGGGGAATACTTTAAATATATACATTTCAAAACATACAGTTGATTATTTAATGGACATTAGAAGTGTATCATGAGAGTATTTTATTATGATTAAAGTAGGGGAATGAAAAACACCATGTGGATTCTAAATATATTAACTTTATTTTATTTTTACTCTTTTTAGATTGTTTATTATATACCGACTTAGAAAAAAATAAGGATAATAATGATATGTAAATCTAAAATAAAATAGATGGTAAGCTGAAAATGGAAATAATAAGGGATAAAGAATTGAAAACGTATGTGTTGATGAAGCGAGATTGATATGAATTAATGAATTGAAATATGAAATGCAAATTTATTTAAAGATGAGTGAAATGGCTAATGATATATGAGATGATATTAAATAAGAAAAATGGAAATGAGAGTATGACTATGTACAAGTGTTATAATCCGGAAACACGTTGCCCACATGAAGAGATGTGTAAAAAAAAAATCCTTTTTATTAAAAAAAAGGGGGGGGGTCCTTCAGGAGAGGATCGTTTCTCTACCTCAGGCATGGCATCTACCTGAGCACTGAGCCTCTCCCTCTCTGTTTCTCTCTCAGCCTCATCAGCGACCTGGACATCCGTTGTTTCACCCATGACAGCTTTGGAAAGGATTTTCTCAAAAGCCAAAACTTGAGGCCTGACTCGGTCGTGCAAGTCGTGCTGCAGCTGGCGCATTACAGGTGAGCTGGCAGGCGAAGTCAAAGGATGGCTTGGAGAAGAAGGGGGAGGAGGAAATGTAAGGTCCAGAACCTGAAACAGGGGTTCCCAATCTCGGGTGCCTGCAGATGGATTTTCGGGGGGGGGGGGGCAACTAAGAGTGGTTTTGTTGGGTCCCTTAGTGACGAGCCATACCTCACGATTACTTTTAAAGGCGGTGTGAACTTTTTGATTGATTGAAAAAGGGGCAGCTACGTTTAAATGTTTTGAATAGTTAGTCCTCGACTTACAACCATTTAAGAGCTGTGGTGGCACAGTGGTTAGAATGCATTTAATGCAGGTTACTTCTGCTGAACTGCCAGCTGACTGCAGTTCGGCAGTTTGATTCTGACTGGCTCAAGGTTTGATTCTGACGGGCTCAGCCTTCCCTCCTTCCGAGGTGGGTAAAATAAGGACCCAGATTGTTGAGGGCAATAGACTGACTCTGTAAACCCCTTAGAGAGAAAACTGTAAAGCACTGTGAAGCAATAAGGTAAAGATAAAGGTACCCCTCACACATACGAGCTACTCATTTCCAGCTCTAGGGGTCGATGCTCATCTCCGTTACAAAGCCAAAGAGCCAGCGCTGTCCAAAGACATCTCCATGGTCATGTGGCCGGCATGACTAAACGCCAAAGGCGTAGGGAACGCTGCTACCTTCCCACCAAAGTGGTCCCTTTTTTTCTACTTGCATTTTTTACATGGTTTCGAACTGCTAGGTTGGCAGAAGCTGGGACAAGTAACGGGAGCTCACTCCGTTACGCGGTGCTGGGGATTCGAACCGCCAAACTGCCAACCTTTCTGATCGACAAGCTCAGCGTCTTAGCCACTGAGCCACCACGTCCACTGTGAAGCAGTGTACAAGTCTAAATGCTATTGCTATTGCTGTTCGTTTAGTGATGTTCAAAGTTACAACAGCAGTGAAATAAGTGACTTATGGCTGTTTTTCACACTTAACGACCACTGCAGCATCTCCACAGTCAAATGATCAAAACTTGGGTGCTTGGCGATTGGCTTTATGTGAGTCCCGGGATCACACGATCCCCATTTGTAACCATCCCAGCTAGTTTCCGACAAGTCAGATCAAGGGGTGAAGCCAGATTCACTTCATAACCACACGATCCATCTAATGACTGCAGTATAATTGGCTTAACAACTTTGGCAAAATGGGTCATAAAACAGGGTGCAACTCACTTTAACAACAGCCTTGCTTTGCATTGGAAATTTGGGGCTCAACTGCAGTTGTAAGTCCAGGGTTCCTTGTAGATAAGTAAATAAAATGCAACATTTCCTAGGGCTGTGGGCAGGGGTGGGCTGCTGTGCGCTCGGGAGAGCCCCTAACTAAAATCCTGTGCAGTCCAAATCCCACTTCTGGCTGGCCCTGCCCATCCGGCCCTTCCCCTCCCAGGACTCCCCACGTGGCCCGTTTTGGGGGCAGGTAAGTGCAGGGCGCACACGGAGGCTCAGTGAGGGCGAAAAACAGGCCTCCCGCAAGTTCGGGAAGGCCGGAAATGGGCCCGTTTCCGGCTTCCAGAGAGCCTCCGGAGCCCGGGGAGTCTGTTTTCACCTTCCCAGAGGCTCGAGGAAAGCCTTCGGAGCCCAGGGAGGGCAAAAACACCCCCACACCTCCCCCCCACACACACCCCGTGGTGCAGGAGGCTGACTAGGCCGCGCTCACCCAGCAACCAGGCAGAGAACCCTTTGCTAAATTTTTTGAAGCCCACCCGTGGATGTGGGGTCATAGAAAAGGTTGGGAACCACTGAACTTTTTTTCAGTGGGAAAGTGGGAGAGGGAATTTCCTTTTGTCCACGTAGGGTTTGTCACCTAGGAGGCACAGTTCTGACGGTGCGCACAGGGTGTGTATTACAACTGACTTTTTCCCCCCTCCTAGAGCACACGGGCAATTGTGTCCCACCGCCGAGACAGCCTCGCTTCGTCGCTTCCATCAGGGCCGGTCAGAAATCATACGCTCTGCTACCTCAGCTGTGCTGGCCTTCGCCCAAGCAATGGCTGACGAGAAGTGCCAGGTATTTAGCTTTCCACCTTTGTGTTTTTTCTTTTTAAGGCTGAGGTGACAACACACTTCATCAAGTCCCCATATTATTTGAACCAGAATGACAGAGTTGGATGGGACCTTGGAGGTCATCTAGTCCAGGGGTGTCAAACTCAAAGCCTGCGAGACAGGTTCGGCATGAGGCTGCCCTGGAAACAGTGAAGGGCTGGCCTGCGGTGCCTCTGAAGAAGAAAGGAGAAGGAAGAGAGAAGGAAAAAGGAGGGAGGGAGGGAGGGAAGGAAGGAAGGAAGGTGTCAGCATTCCAGAAAACCTCCACTCCAACAAATAACTCCGAGACAGACATCCTCTCCAAGGTTCTTTTTATTAAGAGTAGTAAACTGGCACATCTGGGGAATCCCGAATCTGAAAGTTCGGGGTTTCCTTGCAATAAGTAAAAACTACAAAATCCACCCCCTGCACCCATCATCGCATCACATGCCCCAATCACCATCCATCCCAACTTGAGACTTCCCCTCACCCAGGTGCAGAAATAACATGACCTTGACTTAGAAGAAGAATGCTATTATATCTAATCAGATACACTCCGAGAAATTCTGCCCTCCCATTTTCCCAGGCTCAAGAATGCGGCAGTGTGGAAGCATTTGGTGCTAACATGGTGACGGAAGGCCAACAGCTGACAGAAGGAAGGAAAGGAATGAGGAAAGGGAGGGAGGGAGGAAGGAAGGAAGGAAGGGAGACTATGGATCTCCCAGCCCTGCCTGGGCCACCACAGATTCCCCCTCCCAAAGTGGTGTTGCCCTGACCCTGCCCATCCCACCCTGCTCAGGCAAGAAAACCTATAGCAGTGGTGGTGAACCTTTTCGGCACAGAGTTCCAAAACAGGAGTGCGCGTGTATGCCGGAAACCGGAAGAGCAGCTTGCCAGTGGGAGTGCCAGAAACCGGAAGCTCAGCACCGGCCACCCGGTCTTCCGGTTTCTAATGCATATGTGTGTGCAAAGACCAGGTAGCCAGTGCGCACATGCGCATCGGGGAGCTGTTCTTCCAGTTTCCGGCACTCCTCCACGTGGACAGACTTGGGGACCTGTTCTTCCGTGTGCAAAAACCAGCATGTGCAGGCTGGGAACCTAGAAGAGCAACGGGCAACGGCTGGCAAGCCCAGAAAGATGGTTCTGTATGCCACTTCCAGCACGCTTGGCATAGGTTTGCCATTACAGCCCACTACCATTTCAGACAAACGGCCGTCCAATCTCTTTTTAAAAACCGTTCCACTGATTAATTGTTCTCACTATCAGGAAGTTTTAGGTCGGTTCTTATCCTCATGTCCTTGAGTAGAATGAAGGACCATTCCAGGCAGGGAATGGTAGCGCCAATTATTGAAAGAAACTCTACTTTGTTTGCTTAGCATATTTGAGAGCCTTCAGAGGCATTTCTGGATTAGCCAGATGGAGTGGAATTTGGTTCTGCTAATCCTGCGCGTTTCTCTATGTGGAGAGGTCCATTTTTCCTCTTCAAGAAGTCTTGGCCTTGTTCTGATCTTGGTTTTGGGACAAATAGAAAAGTCTCTTTGTTATCTACAACAATCTCTTTTTCCATGCAGCTTGAAATTGAGAATACAGATAGTCCTTCACTTAATAACCGTGATTGAACCCAGGATTAGGGACGTAAGTCACGCTAGTCATTAAATGGGTCACTACATGGCCATGCCTGTTTTTACAACCTTTTTTGTGCCAGTCATTAAGCAAATGCAGTGGTTGTTAAGCGAATGCAGAGGTCATTAATCAAATCCATTGTCTGAAAAGGGTGTTTTTTGTTGAAGACCAGAAGTAAACAACCTGTCAAGGGTGACAGTGAATGATGTGTGTCAGAGTCAGCTAGCTGTCAGTGCTCGACAGTTACCCCCATTTAAACCATGAGTCTCTTGCCAAACTTCCAAAATTTAAAGATGATTTATTAGGAGTAAACATGCCGGCGCTGCCTGGGTGTAACCGACTCTGAGACATATCATTTATTGTCACCCTTGACCCTGGTTTTCTCCCCAACCCCTGGGTATATTGTAATTCATATTCTCCAATGGGACACATCCATAGCCAAGAATCATCAGTCACGCTCTCCAGTTTGAATTTTGCGCAGCAGAAACTTCGGTCATCTAGTTACTATCTTTGAAAACATTTTGCGGAACATGAGCTGCCCATTGCTCCCCCCTCCCTTTCTGTTAGCAACTCTAAAAAGACCATAGAAATATTTTATGAGTTGACACAACCATTTCCAGCAAAAAAAAAAAAAAAATCACGGTTCCACGATTACGGGATGCTGTAAATGTCCATAAATGTGGGTGGGTTGCTCAGTGCCCAAAATGTGAACATGTGACCACAGGGGGGCAGCGGCAGCCATCAAAACTTCAAATTTTGATCGTAACTCTCCTTCGAGAGGTTCATCATAACTCTGAACAGTCGCTAAACCAGCCGTAAGTCAAGGACTGCCTCTACCCATGTCATCATTTAGATTCCTCTACATACATTCATAGCAAAGCTGGCTGAGGAATTCTGGGAGTTGAAGTCCACAAGTCTTAAAGTGGCCAAGGTTGGAGACCCCTGCTTTAACCAACATCTCACTTAGCAACAGAAATGTCAGGCTGCATTGGGTTATAAATCAAGGACTACCTGTATGTTAGCAGTTGAGACTTCTGGGTGTTATGGTCTGAACGTTCTGGTATTTAAAATCCATGTCTCTTTTTCTTCACCAGGGCCCTGAAAGATTATCTCTCCTGAAACAAGCGGTTGAATCCCACAGCACCCTGACAGAGCAGGTAACTTATCTCTCTGCTACATGTTTGGTAGGAACATTTATTTTTAACGTCTTCAAGTCAGCCTTGAAATTGGCAACGTTTTTCTTGGCAGCAACATTTTCCAAAAATGGCCTGCCATTGCTGGGTTTTTACGGCTGATAAAAAAAGTGACTCGCCCGAAGTCTTACCAGTTGGTTTCACGACTTCTGGGAGCTGCAGTCAGTTTGGAGACCCCTGATTTTGTGTGTATGAGTTCAAACCACCTTCCGGAGGTAGCTGGTTTGTTCAGAGTATTGCAGCGTAAATTCAGCGCCAGAAAAATAAACACAGGTGGCTGAGGCTTCATTTAACTTCTTTATAAGCACATAAAGTAAATTTTACAGTACCAGTGGTAGATTTCTCCAGCATGGAGCAAACTCAAACAGAAGCAGACATGTTACAGGTTCAGAGCAGAACAGTAACTCAGGAGAGCTCAGAAACAGACATCACTTTAGTTCAGCAGGCAAGCAAGCAAGCAAGCTAGTTTTTCTTTCACTTTAGAGCTGCAGCGCTTAATATAGAGCCACGCCTAGGCTACTTCTAGTTTTAGCTTCCAAACAGTCCTCATTGGCTGACTTAGTTGCTATGCCTATTCATTGGCTGACCTTGTTACCGTGCTTTATTCCAGTTCATGAATATACCCTGACATGATTTTGTGCGATGTCTTGCAGGCTCTGGATGGACAAGGCATCGACTGCCATTTGCTTGGACTGAAAATGGAGGCCATAGCAGACGGCTTCCACGTGCCTGAGCTTTTTATGGATATTTCCTACACCCTGGCTTCATACTGGAAACTCTCCACAGGGCAGGTACAGAGAGCCAGTTCCAAATTTGTACCTCTTTACCATATTCCTGTATTACTCAGGTTACGATATTCTCCATACTGATAGTCCCTGTTTGTTGACTGTCTTATTAGATAGCAACCATTGGCAAATTCCTTGTGTGTCCAGTCACGCTTGGCCAATGAAGAATTCTATTCTATATTCTATTCTATTCTATTACTATTACTATTCTATTCAATGATAATAAATGCTGATAAAACATTCATTTCCCCCCACAACAAAAGCCAGTGTGAAACTGATTAAGGCCCGGTCAGTTTCAGGAACTAATTGTGAGACAAGGCTGCTGAGAAAAACAGCTCAGGAAGAGATTCCTTATTTTCAACAGGATTGCGGGGGAGGGGGAGAGAAGTGACTTATAACTGTTTTTCACACTTATGAGCATCGCAGCATCCCCATGGTCACGTGATCAAAATGGCAGCTGATTTATATTTATGACCGTAGCAATCTGGTGGTCTGTCAGGGTTCTAAGTAATAAATCCATTGAAAGCAAGACTCCGAGGTCATTGAGAGCCTCAAACTTTACTTTTGGGGGGGAAATATATTGGCACATATCTGGTGAAAACCGACTCTGAAACTCCTACGGTTTTCACCTTATTAAAAGTAAAAGATTTTCTACTTTCTCAAAACCATCAATCACATGGTCCAATCAACCATGCAGTCTACCAACCAGATGACATCTTCTGACCAGGTGTGAGAATGTCCTTGGTTCCCAAGAGAAAGTATTTTGTTTTGGCTACAAAAATCCCTCTTACCTCAAATCCCACCTCCCTGACCCTCCACTCCAGTGTGGCAACACTAAAGCGGACAAAACTGCTTCGGTCAGGCCAGCTTCAGGGTTGACATGGTCACCCTTTGGGACCTCCTGACCAGCAAAGTTAATGGGGAAGCCAGATTCATTTAACAACCGTGTTTCTAACTTAAGAACCTCAGTGATTCACTTAACAATTGTGGCAAGAAAATGTTCTGACCAAGGCTTCCTGAGACTGTAATTAAGCACACACTTAGTCCAAACAACTCTCTTTTTATTTCAACGCTGGGAATTATGTGCATTCCCAACCCGTAATGAGTCCCAAACAGTCTCTCGAGATAAGCACCCACCTTTATCTCCTTTGAATTGCTGCCAACAACTAAAGTGCCAAATTAACTGTAAAAATACGACTGAAGCACAAAGTCCACACAAAGCTTCAAGGTTTAATCCGAACAGAACAAACAGCCTTGCTTCCTGCAAAGGTTTCTCTATCTTTGCACTTCCTTTATACTTTATGGGAGGGGCAATCACCTCCAAGCCTTACTCCCAAGTTGCCCCTTTTGTCTTAACTGTTCTTGCCTTCTGACAGCTCTGTGCACACGCACACTGGGAACAGGCTTCCCTTGTTCCTCTGCCTCGCTGCTGTCAGATTCTGGAGGCTCCAGAGTCAGCACATAACTCCCAGATGGCCCTGGCCCCATCTCTGTAGTAGATGCAGGACCCTCATCCTCCCTAGACTTGCGGACTGGCCCATGTTCTTCTCCACTGTCCGATTCTGTGTTTCCTCAGGCTGCCGGCAGACCACAACAGAAAATGGGGCAAAACTCAATTAACATTAATGTTTCACTTAACAACAGAAATTCTGGGGCTCAATTGTGGTTGTAAGCAGGGGTGGGATTCAAAAATTTTAACAACCGGTTCTGGTTGGCATGGCTTGGCGGTCATGTGACTGGGTGGATATGGCTTGGTGGTCATGTTATTGACTGGGTGTGGCCAACTCAATATCACTCACATCGAGGCACACATCTCTTTGCTTGGCCTCTCATGACTGTGGGGATGCTGCAACAGTTGTAAGTGTGAAAAATGGTCATAAGTCACTTTTTCCAGTGCCATTGTAACTTTGAATGGTCACTCCACCAAGCAAAGTACCAGCAACGGAGGGGAAAAAAATACTCGAGACATTCCTGAGACAGGAAGTCTAGTCCTGCCAATAATGTAATAAGGGTTAACGGAGAGGCAGTTTCTGTAAGCAACACCAGAATGTTTCCTTCCTGCCTTCCTTACAGGATTAGGCCAGTAATTTCTTCTAACAACCGGTTCTTCGAACTGCTTAGAATGTTAACAACCGGTTCTAGCGAATAGATGCGAACTGGTAGAATCCCACCCCTGGTTGTAACTGAAGGACCACCTGTATTCAGAGCAGGGGTGTGATTCAATGAGTGTAACAACCAGTTCAGCGGGTGCTTGCTTTGTGCGCAAGGGTTTGCTACTGACCTCCTGCAATCCTGCAATCTCCCTGTGTCTTCAACAGCTGGACGTGCGGCAATCCACTGTGCTGCGCTAAGCAGCTGAGCTTGAAAATCAGGAAATAAAGGTCAGAATAGAGCCCAGATGGGAAGGCCCAGTAGCTTATCGTCGGAGCAAACCGATTCGTTCACAGATGATCCTTGGAGCTACCGGTTGAGCCGAACCGGTAGAATACCACCACTGATTCAGCTGTTTTTTTAATCTCACTTTCCTTTGTCTTTCAGGTTGCTTCCCGCACGGACTGCATCATGTGTTATGGGCCCCTCGTGCCTGACGGCTACGCTGTTTGCTACAACCCTTTGCCCACCCATATTAATTTTGCTGTCACCGCCTTCAACTGCTGTGAGGAAACCAATGCCACTTACTTAGCCGGAAACATCCAGAATGCCCTGGCTGATGTGGGGGCCTTGTTGGGGAACTTTGGAGAAGGCCAGCCTGACAAACTCTGAGAAAATATTTTGAACTTCACTTCAGACTTCAAACGTGACTGAGGGCATCTCTCTAGCTTGGCCAACAGATGACCCGTCGTTGTTGAAAAATCCCCAATCTCTCCCTTGCCTCCTTTTGGGCTAAAATTTTGGATGCAGCATCCTTCAGCACTCCTAATCCCATAATATCCTTTGCTAGCCCTAACAGGATTTGCAGGGAAATGGCTGTCTCTATATAAATATATACACTTCTGCACATCTTCTAAATGCAAGATCAGATCCTAATTTATTTCCAGAATAAAGACATTTAAACAGTATATATATATAGCAGGAAAAGTTCCTGCCAATTTCTTTTTTAGATCAGCAAAAGATCATTATTTTTTAAAATTGTGACTGGGTTGCAAGTCCATTCCGAACAGGCATTTACAGCATAGTGAACTATGATTGTGTTTCATGTTCACATTGTGCCTTAGTTTAGCTGCCTGCAATTTTGGGGGGCCCAGGGACCAGTACTGGGCACTGGGCAGGGCGTAGTTTCCAGAGTTACCTAACTCCTGCGCATATGCAGATGAAGCTTCACTCGCTTGTGCATCCCAGTTTCTAATGGGCCGTGGTCCCGTACTGGTTCACAGCCCAGGGTTTTGGGGGTCCCCTTCCTTATACGCTTTTTCGCAGGAGTTCTCAAAAGTTTGTGGTAGGACAACTTTTTGAAACAATGAATGGATTTCTGGGTCTCCCACCCCTTAAAAGAAATGGCTTCCATTGGGATGAGGTTTGGCAAAAGAAATAAAAGGCATCACAGTTAAACTCTAATCGGTATCTAAAAGGGATTCTTAAACTCTGCAGGATTACAGTGGGATGATGTGAAAAACAACGTCCTGTGGCATTTTCCATTCTCTCAACGTAGCCCTAGTTTTTGTTTTAAAGTCAATCACAGTCAAGTTTCTATTCAGGATTGCAAGATCCAGGAAGAAAGATTTCCACTGACATTTTAATTCAGATTTCCGATTTAATGCTGGCAAAATCAATGATGGTAATAAAGGGGTATGCGTGTGATTGATTACCGAAAATTCAAGAAGGAAAACTGTGGCTGTCATTCATTAGCAAATTCATTAAAGTGGGATCTCTGTGAACTACTTCCTGCAAGACTGCTTAACTCAATGATTCTTAAACTTTTCCCTTCGTTATCTAAAACTGCTTATCAGAAAGCCCTATCAGACTTTGGGGACCAGTCCTAAATCCTTTCCTTTCAGCACCATCATAATTTCAAACAGTTACTACATGAATGGTCAAATCCTCAAAGACATATCTACTGTATACAGGTAGTCCTTGACTTATGACCACAATTGAGCCCAGAATTTATGTTTGCTAAGTAGGAAAGTTGTTAAGTGAATTTTGCCCCATTTTACGATTTTTCTTGCTGCAGTTGTTAATCACCGCACTATGTTAAATTAGTAACGTGGTTGTTAAGTGGATCTGGCTTCCCTATTGTCTTTGTCAGAACATCGTAAAAGATGATCACATAACTCCGAGACACTGCAACGGACATAAATATGAATCGGTTGTCAAGCATCCAAATGTAAATTACGTGACCATGGGGATGCTGCACTAATCATAAGTGTGAAAAATGGGTCGCTTTTTTCAGTGGCATGTGGGAACTTCAAACAGTCACTGAATGAACTCTTGTAAGTCAAGAACTATCTGTACAAGACTCCTGGTGGTGCAGTGGTTAAAGTGTAGTACAAATAGTCCTCAACATACAACAGTTTGTTTAGTGACTGAATGGACACTAAATGAACTGTCATAAATCAAGGACTACCAGTATTGTACAACAAAAAATTCCTGTGTGATCTTCAGGGCATTTCAATCAACATTGGTAATTTCATCAATTTTCCCTTGAAAGGAAATGTTCAGCATTTTCAAATATACACATGTATACACATACAAAATATACAAAGGTACATGTGATAATCTTTAAGTCAATTTAAATGTCCCTGTTGCGATTGGGCAATAAGATTTACATGGTGGTATCCAAAGAAAAGTCACTTTTATCCAATTTAGGGTATTTAGAATAGAATAGAATAGAATAGAATAGTTTATTGGTCAAGTGTGATTGGACACACAAGGAATTTGTCTTGGTGTAAATGCTCTCAGTATACATAAAGAAAAGATACATTCATTAAGAATCAAGAATCATAACGTACAACACTTAATGATAGCCATAGGGTACAATCAACAATCAAATCATACTAGGAAACAGTCAATATAAATTGTAAGGATACAAGTGACAAAGTTACAGTCCTAAAATCACAAGTGGGAGGGGATGGGTGATAAGGAGTGATAAGATTAATAGTAGCGCAGACTTTGTAAATAGTTGGACAGTATTGAGGGAATTATTTATTTAGCAGAGTGATAGGTTTCAGGAAAAAACTGTTCTTGTGTCTAGTTGTTCTGGTGTGTAGTGCTCTATAGCGTCGTTTTGAGGGAAGGAGTTGAAACAGTTTATGTCCAGGATGTGAGGGATCTGTAAATATTTTCACAGCCCTCTTTTTGATTCGTGCAGTATAATATGCCCCACTTTAAGCATTAGCTTAACTGAAAAGCGAATGGCTCGTTTACCAGACAAAACATCCACTTGTTCTTTGTTTGCCATATTTTGAAACGCCTTTTTTCCTCGTATATTTTCTCCGGCACCTCCCTTATAAATAATTTGGGGGTCCTATTGGGGTCTTGATTTTCAGTTTGAGGCCTAGACTAATTGGGTAGGAATGTCCATGGAAACATCCGCAGAGCCACAGTGGTTAGAATGCAGTCATATAGGGCCAACTCTGCCCACTGCCAGGAATTTGATCCTGACCAGCTCAAGGTTGACTTCGTCCTTCCAAGGTCGTTAAAATGAGGACCCAGATTGTTGGGGGCAATAGGCTGACTCTGTAAACCGCTTAGGGCTGTAAGGCAGTGGTCCCCAACCTTTAGGGCACCAGGGACCATATTCATGGGGAAAGGGTTTTCCCCAGACTGGAGGGGACTTGCTTTTGCTTCCCTTGTTTACGTGGCCCGGTTTCTGGCATGCCGCAGCCTGGTGCCAGTAAAGCCACTATGAAGCAGTATATAAGTCTAGGGGTCCCCAAACTTGGCAACTTTAAGACTTGTGGACTTCAACTCCCAGAATTCTGGGAGCTGAAGTCCACAAATCTTTAAAAGTTGCCAAGTTTGGAGACCTCTGGTCTAAGTGCTATTGCTATCCCGGGACACGAGGGTGTAGTTCTGATCCTCACAGGACGGCAATTAGGAATTGGGTTATAATAACAATATCCTGTCCGGCATCTGAGGTAAAATGCGGCTTGGCAAAGCTTTCTTCCGATTGGGCCCTGCTGCTTGAAATCCTGCAAGATTTCAGCATTCTCAACTGAAGGAGAGAGAGGGCTTCAGTGAGGGCAAATAAATTGCATTGAGAGGTTTGAGTGATTTTAAAAGGTCCCCCCACCCCTGCCAAAAAAAAAAAGCTTAATTCTAGAAGTCCACAGGTTTAGGGATGTTTGAGGGGACCTGGCCTATGTGATTCCTATTTTCTGCTCTGATAAACAGAGCCTCAGTCCAACTTCTTCCAAGGTGTTTGTCCTGCTGAGATTTTCTGCTGTGTTTCTCAGAAGAAAACAAAACTAACAGAAGCAATCTTTGGAGTCATCCCAAGCTCTTGTAGAGACACTGAGCCTGTCTCTTCTGCTGCAATCTGTTGGGAGAACCTGCTAAAACATCTTGGTTAGCAGCTGGAATTGAGATGGTAATAGATGTAGAATAAAAAAAATAATTTTTTTTTTTTGTCTGCCTTTAAGTCAATCTTGATTCTTGGCAATTTCACAGAGAGGTTCATGCCGTTTCCTTGGTAACGGTGAAGAAGTGATTTGCCACTTCCTTCTGGGATATTTTTTTTTTACTTCTTCATTTAGGACTGAGAGTGGATGAATGCCCAGAGTCCCCTAGTTGGTACCCACAGCTGAGGGAGGTCTAGATGCTCTTTGGTGATCACATTCATAAACATAATAGCAATAGGATTTAGACTATTTCCCCACTGATAACAACCCTGTGAGGTGAGTTGGGCTGAGGGAGAGGGACTGGCCCAAAGTCACCCAATTGGCTTTCGTGGCAAAGACTAGAACTGGTGATTTGGTCCAAAGTTGCCCAGCTGGCTTTGATGGCTAAGGTGGAACTAGGTTTCTTGGTTTTTAGCCTGGTGCCTTAACCAGGGGTAAGAGCACAGGAGGGGTGACAAAACAGCAATAGTCGGAATCAGGGTAGCAGGCAAAGCAACTAATGTTAAAGTGGCTTGTTTCATCAGAGCCTGCATTTAAAATATCGCTTGGGCTGTTAGATCCTCCATTTCACACAATCAATCAATCAATCAATCAACCAATCAAATAAATAACAAATAAATGGAAAATGGGAGAGGGAAGACAGAATGCAAAGTATCTGAGAGACAAGAAAGAGAACATTTCTTTGCACTGACAAGAAATTTATATTTAAACAATGATGTCAGACGGACAACCTTTGGTGCTCTATTTCAGATGGAGGTGAAAGTTGGAGGCTGATTATTTTTTGTGATGGTTATTTTCATTTTTATGGTTATGTGGTGCTCCGCTTGTGTGTGGTTCATGAGATCTCAAGGGGCATCATGACTTCTGTAAATTACCTTGAGCATAAATGACCAGACTCAAAATTATCCTATTTTGGACATATTCTGTGAAGACCCAGCTGTCTGGAGAAGGCTCGTGATGCTGGGAAAAGGTAGAAGCAAGAGCAGATGAGCCGCAAGAGGAGAGTTTCAATTACAGTGGGGGATGGGGGCCTCTGGAAACAAAATGGGACCACTCTCCACGGCCAATTTGTTGTCAGCCCTGAAATTGGCCTGACTGAGGCCATTTTGAGACTTCAGTGCTGACACACTGGAGCTGAGGGATAGGGAGGGGGGAGTAGAGATAATTGGGGTATTATAGTCAAAAGACAATACTTTTGGGAACCAAGGACATAGCTGCAGGTGTTTGGAAGGAGGGGACTGAGGGTGCCTAGCGACTGGACTGTATCCTGATTGGACCATGCGACTGGTTGTTTTGAGAAAGTGACAAACTCCTTTTAATTAGGTGAAATCTTATCCTGCAGTGAGTTGCCATGTGGTGAGTTGATCGTGGCAAGTTGGTTGTGGCGATATTGGCTATGTAAGACCTGAAAGATCCAAGTTTGGAGCAGATCAGCATTAAGAAAATCTATTCATGTGGTTGCTAGGAGTTGAGAATGACCTTTTGGAACGTAATCGTCATTTGTCCCCAAACAGGACAAAAATATAGTGGGCGGGGGGGGGGGAAGAAAGTACAGCTTAACATCCCATAATGACAACTGGTCCCATGGCAGCCACTTTGGAAAGAAAGGAAATCTCTCCACAGATATTGTGCACAAGTATCTATAATGTATGGAGGCTTGTTCAGAATTGCTACCTTGGCCACCAGCATCTAAAGTCCCTGAATCTGGGAGTGCACATGAGCTTCTGTGTGTGAAGGAAGACAAGAGTCAGGGTCACCCCACTAATACTATAACTTTACCACCACCCACCTTTGAGCTAAGAGGGGGACTGGTCACACATCATTCAGGTAGGTTTATGAATTAGATCCAGTGGGTTTATGAAACGTAAGAAGAATGGTTGAAAGAATTGGGTATGTCCAGTCTCATGAAAAGAAGGACTAGGGGTGACATGATAGTAGTGTTCCAATATCTCCGGGATTGCCACAAAGAAAAGGGGGATCAACCTACTTTCCAAAGCACCAGAATGGAAGATAAGAAACCATGGATGGAAACTAATCTAGGAGAGAAGCAACCTAGAACTAAAGAGAAACTTTCTAGCAGTGAGGACAATTAACCAGTGGAACAGCTTTGCCTTCAGAAGATCTGGGTGCTTCATCACCGGAGGTTTTTAAGAAAAGACTGGACAGCCGCTGGTCTGAACTGGTATAGGGTCTCCTACTTGAGCAAGGGGGTGGGACTAGAAGACCTCCAAAGTCCTTTCCCAACTCTGTTAATTCTGTTTCCAGTGGTTGAAAATGGGGTAGAAACTGGGTCTCTCAATCCAGCTCCTTCAGTATCACTCCGGCTGGTACCTTTAAATCCAGCGCATGGAGGAAACTCTTACAGACACAGGAAGTAAACAAACTAACACCATTCCATTCATTAGAGCCGTGTTTCAATGGAAATCAAATTAATTTGCCATCT